TGGTACGAATTCTCAAATTTTCCATTGTGATCTTCAACTCTCGTGCTTGTGCATTTAGGAATGCGAATGAATTTCAATGAAGTCAAAAGCTGACTTCAGCGTTCTCGTTGGAGAATATTCGTAATCGTTATCATTGCAAAAAATGTTATCGAAATCAACCGAATGCATTCTATGGATAATTGCTGTTTGCAATGCTTGAAGATTTCAATTCCCTCACAAATCATTACTTTTTCTATTGCTGCTATTTTAACGTTAACGTAATCCTCCGTTTCAATGATTCTTTCGAAAATCACCGTTTTTATAGCCAGTATTATTACAATTCCCATGGTGCTTACCTCAGCTTTTTCCATTCACACGATCATTAATCACCTGTTATATTTTACTCTCTACTTCCGTCCTCCCATGTTTCTGTGTGTATCACTCGTTTTAGAGTACTTCTTAAGATGCTCATTCACACTGCATTTCAAACCAAAATCGCACGCGCATCTCGAAGACATGAGTAGGACCAAAGCGATACATCCTAATGAATATCAACGAAAGGAATCACAAAGTTCAAAAATCCTAAGTATAATGATCGCTGAAAGTTTCATTGCATCCTGCAATGTTGATACTAAGAACCCTGATATACTACCGAATAATAAAACTGATCCAAATTCATAATTTCATAGCGATAAGTAGTAATCATATGAGTTCTATAAAGATGAACACATAATAACGATCTGTGATAGCATTCAGTATCACATTATTCGCAATATTAATTGCATGGATTGTTGAACTTGACGAAACATTCAAAACTGTTGAGTTGAAGTGAAGCGAATATGATGAAGGGGCAGAGTTGATTGGGTTCGACATCAACTCGAAAAGCTAGAATGGAAACAGAGACGATGCCGAAGCAACAATCGTAAACAAGCGCACCATGAAACAATGCCATCTGAACGGCATGAAGCACTGATAAGGTGGCTGTGATCATGGGTGTAGGTGGGCGGATCCTGATATAGATCAGTCAATACTCTCGGTGTCTGCTCTCGATATCAATCTGCGCATGCAGAGTCTATCAAGCATTGTACAGTCTGTCATGGAAATACTCTTGATGTCTGTTCTTAACATCAACCGTGCACGCATAGCCTGTCAAGCCCTGTATAGCCTGTCATCGAAGTGCTCACTATACACATCGGGTAGGTAAAAACACTTCCATGGCTGGAGTGAAGCATGACGTTTTGATCGCTTTCGAGTGCGTATCAAGTGTATCGAGTGCGATGATCAATTGAAGTGCGTATCGAGTGCGATGATCAATTGAAGCATGCTGCTTTTTGGGCTTATGATTCGAACGGAGTGAGTTTCTCTTCAAGACGATTGATATCTCAGGATAGAGGAGAATCTGCTGCAAAAAGTGACCAGGAATAATTATGCAATGCGGAACATAACTGACAAAAGAATGAAATCAATCTATACAAATATTTTAGGAGAAACTATACATTACATTGAAGTTTTCGGCTGGTTGATGAGGAATTTCAATGCTGACGTTTGCAAGTACATGACGGACATGGTCCTTCAGAAGTAACGACTCAAATTTCAAAGAATGATCCGATAGTTGCTCATTTTGACACACTCAGTTCTTTGCATCGGTTTTCTCAGCATCTACATAATTATCTGTTGTTAGCTCCTTATAGCTGGGTAGCACTCTATCATAAAGTCTATTCATCTCAATGAGTAGAGAGAGCCTAGCGTACCAATGGCCGTCTACATAAGATGCGATAAGTATCGGTTATCATTATATTTATTCTCAGTCGAGTGAGAATGTGCTAAAAATGTGCGATAATATCGCAATTCAAGAACATATAAATCGCGATCAAGAAGGAATTTACTTCTTGAATTTACTGCAAGAAGGAATTTACTTCAAGAACCAATGAATATATGAAACAATAAACTTTTTTACGACAGTGATAGAATTATTATCTTAAGGAGAAAGTGCATATTCTCAGCTTATACGTCAGTTACTTAGTCTTTTTATTCAAGCTGTGGTCTGCTGAAAACTTCATATGTTCTGAGTGTATTGATAGCTACTGATTGACCAGCGATACATTCTTTCTGTCAGACAATTGGCGATAAATATAAAGGATTTATTTCACTGATCAAAGCATGGACAATACATGGAACATAGTGAAAAGCGATGAATAAAATTAGTTTTGGTGATGCTAACGGTAGTTCGCTCACTTTGCCAGAACCTTTTCAGGAAACTTGTTCCGAACTTGTGGCTATAAGAGCAGGAAGGTACTTAATGGATTTGAAAATGATCAAACGAGATCAGTAATGCAGCTCGATATAGTCGCTTCAAGTCTTGCAAATCATCAAATTTCCTAGATCAACGAATATGACTATCTTATTTCGGGGACAACTGAACGTTTTTAAATGAAATTTCACACATGCTAAATCACCCGAATGTAATAATTTCAATACAGTATAAGTGCAAATTTGAAGAATCGATAGCAAATGATGAAATTCAAGCTATGATCATTTTATTGTGCAGTTGTTATTGCCTCTGATTTGATTGTTTCACTTCGATGGTTGTTGTTGTCGAATTGAGATGTGCGATGGATCGATATCGAAAATCTGAAATGATTCGAATTAATGTCGAACTGAGCAAAACGCTTTTTTGCAAGCATAAATCCCATCTGGTCGAAGATATAATTCATAATTTTAACAACATTGCCTGCTTGCACAATCTAGTCTAAATGAACTCTGTAAGTAGTTCTACCCTCACCCTTTAAAATAATTACTCCTATTTCAGGGAGACTTTACCACCGAATGCAAATCAGAGCTAGCTTATGAGAAAAACCATTATTAAAGAAACTTCTCAGTTAATTTCTCCCAAAAATTCAGATCGATTGATATCTTCAACTCTTGAGTAGCATTGCGACATAATCATAACGCTGACTGAATAGTGATTTTATCAAATTTTCGCATCAAACAAATGACGTGTGAACATTAAAATGCAAGATATTTCGCAATATTATTCGGGAAAAAATTTTTCAGCTCATCGGCGTATACTACAGCAAATGTTATTAACCCTCTTACGTACTAAAGTCGTTACGACATTCACCGATGATACAGTGGTGAGGCTGGATAACGCAACATTGACATAATATTCAACTCGCATATGCTTAGCGTGAAATTCGATCACTCATCGGTAAGGGAATGCAAATCAGATAATCAATATACGCTATTTCCGGTGCCTCACTTTGAAATATTTAAAATGATCACAGTCGAAACAGCTATCGCAAATTTCACGTACAAAAAAATGATTCGAAACTCGCATATTCAACTCGCATCAAAAAGTTGGATATCATGCAAAACGATACAGAGAATTGATCTTCTCTTAGAGCAATTACCGAATTTGAAATTATTCTACATTTTCACATTAGAATTCCATGATGTAACTCACAAATGTGAGTTTCTGATCTGATCATTCAAATTCCATGATGCTTACGACTAGCTATACTCAGAGCTCAACGTGACATAATATTCATCTCACATATGCTCTGAATGTCGCATAATGAAAATAAGTGCTTAGCTATACTCTGAACAGTTGAAAATTTTGCAAAAAAGTTTACCTTTTATGTCGATGAAACGGTAATTTCAGAAATAATACGTCGTTTTCGTGGCATCACAACCTCACCCTCTTCTTCCTCCTCTTCCTCTTCCTCTTCACTACTTGCCGTATCAATTTTCTTTGCCTCAGTGGCGGACTTGCTGTTCGACACCCTCAGATTGCTCCTCACTTCGGGTTGTTTCAATCCGGACGGTTTAGGCGCACTCTCTTTCTGATCAGCTTTCTTGGGCGAAGATTTTGGTTTGGATGCATATTTGAACATGTAAACGACGAATACGATGCATATTATGGCAACAACAACGACCAATTGATACAGTTGAAATATATAGTATTTGAGACCGTCTAACTGCATTTTGGTGCAGTTTTGGAATGGACGTAAAGCACACTACCTAGTGACTGGTGCAGTGAATTCGTACACTGACGGGAGTGGGATTGAATGAGTTCAAGAATAACCTCAGGCTACGAACAATGTGCTGAGCACACATACACACAACACAACGCAATGGCTGATTACAACAATCACGAATCGTGCATTGACGAACAGCTGCTGCCATATGTATTCAGTAGAATTATTGCTACTCTTTTGCCATTTCCCTAGCACCAAATCTTTCGCACACAAAAGCTCCAGTATACAGCTCCATCGTGATCGTAAAAAAGTTTTCTTATTATAACTCATAGTAACGCTTTGATCTGAATCGTAGCAATGCTTTTTCGTGCAGATGAGGTCAATGCTTCATAATGCGGCTGAGGCGATTTTTCCATCTATCAAGCATCTTTTTGATTGCTTAATGAAATAATGTTTCGAAAAAATAAATTCATTCCACAATGAACTACTGAAGATGATTTG